ACAAAAAGAAATAAAAGGCATCCAAATCGGCAAAGAAGAAGTCAAACTCTCACTGTTTGCAGATGGTATGATACTTTATGTGGAAAACCCAAAAGACTCCACCTCAAAACTGCTAGAATTCATACAGGAATTCAGTAAAGTGGCAGGATAGAAAATCAATGCACAGAAATCAGTGGCATTCCTATACACCAACAACAAGACAGAAGAGAGAGAAATTAATGAGTTGAAACCATTTACAATTGCACCCAAAACCATAAGATATCTAGGAATAAATCTAACCAAAGGGACAAAGGATCTGTACTCAGAAAACTATAAAATACTCATGAAAGAAATTGAGGAAGACACAAAGAAATGGAAAAACGTTCCATGCTCATGGATTGGAAGAATATTGTGAAGATGTCAATGCTACCTAGAGCAATCTACACATTCAATGCAATCCCTATCAAAATACCATGAACTTTTTTCAAAGAAATGGAACAAATAATCCTAAAATTTGTATGGAAGCAGAAAAGACCCTGAATAGCCAGAGGAATGTTGAAAAAGAAAAGCAAAAAACTTTGCACAGTGGCAGTATCGTAGCCAATGAGGTTTATTCGAGGCACGATTATTGCTAATTGAAAAAGGAAAGTAAAGCTGGTGGCATTACAATCCCGGACTTCCAGCTCTATTACAAAGCTGTCATCATCAAGACAGTATGGTACTGCACAAAAACAGACACATTGATCAATGGAACACAATAGAGAGCCTAGAAATGGACCCTCAACTCTATGGTCAATTAATCTTTGACAAAGCAGGAAAGAATGTCCAATGGAAAAAAGAGTCTCTTCAACAAATGGTGTTGGGAAAATTGGACAGCAACATGCAGAAAATGAAACTGGACCATTTCCTTACACCACACACATAGACTCAAAATGGTTGAAAGACCTCAATGTGAGACAGGAGTCCATCAAAATCCTAAAGGAGAACACAGGCAGCAACCTCTTTGACCTCAGCCACAACAACTTCTTCCTAGAAACATCACCAAAGGCAAGGTAAGCAAGGGCAAAAATGAACTATTGAGATTTCATCAAGATAAAAAGCTTTGGCTCAGCAAAAAAAACAGTCCACAAAACCAAAAGACAACCAACAGAATGGGAGAAGATATTTGCAAATGACATATCAGTTAAAGGGCTAGTAGCCAAAATCTATAAAGAACTTATGAAACTCAACACCCAAAGAACAAATAATCCAATCAAGAAATGGGCAGAAGACATGAACAGAGATTTTTCCAAAGAAGACATCCAAACAGCCAACAGACACCTGAAAAAGTGCTCAACATTGCTTGGTATCAGGGAAATCCAAATCAAAACCTCAATGAGGTATCACCTCACAAGTGTCAGAATGGCTAAAATTAACAAGTCAGGAAAGAACAGATGTTGGTGGGGATGGGGAGAAAGGGGAGCCCTCTTACACTGTTGGTGGGAATGCAAGCTGGTGCAACCTCTCTGGAAAACAGTATGGAGGTTCCCCAAAAAGTTGAAAATAGAGATACCATACAATCCAGCTACTGTAGTACTGTGTATTTACCCCAAAGATACAAATGTAGGGATCTGAAGTTTTACATGCACCTGATAGCAGCAATGTCCACAATATCCAAACTGTGAAAGAGCCAAGATGTCCATCAACAGATGAATGGATAAAGAAGAAGTGGTATATATATATATACAATGGAATATTATGCAGCCATCGATAGGAATGAGATCTTGCCATTTGCAACGACGTGGATGGAACTGGAGGATATTTTACTGAGCGAAGTAAGTCAATCAGTCAAAGACATATATCATATGACCTCACTGATATGGGAATTCTTAATCTCAGGAAACAAACTGAGGGTTGTTGGAGTGGGGGCAGGGGTGGGAGGATTGGGGTGGCTGGGTGATAGACATTGGTGAGGGTATGTGCTGTGGTGAGTGTTGTGGATGGTGCAAGACTGTTTGAATCACAGATCTGTACCTCTGAAACAAATAATACATTACATGTTAAAAAAAAAAGAAGAAGAAGATAGGAGGAGGGGAAGAATGAAAGGGGAGAAATCGGAGGGGGACATGAACCATGAGAGATGATAGACTCTGAAAAACAAACTGAGGGTTCTAGAGGGGAGGGGGTGGGGGATGGGTTAGCCTGGTGATGGGCATGGAGCGCTGGGTGTTATACACAAACAATGAATCATGGAACACTGCATCAAAAACTAATGATGTAATGTATGGTGATTAACATAACAATAAAAAATTAAAAAATATATTAACTAATCTTTGTTGTAAACAGATGTGCTGTCATCCAGACTTTGCATTTATAGGGCTCAGGCAGAATAGATTTGGCACAATTTTTAAGGGCCCTAGAATTTTTGAAATGGAAAATTGGTATTAACTTCAACTAAAAGTGACCAACTGCATTAATCCCCAACAAGAGAGTTAGCCTGTCCTTTGAAACTTTGAATCCAGACATTACCTTCTTTGCCCTACCTATGAAAGTCCTAGGTAACATCTTTCAATGGAAGGGTGTTTTATCTACGTTGAAAACCTGTTGTTTAGTGTAGCCACCTTCATTAATTATCTTAGTCTATATTCTAGATAACTTGTTACAGCTTCTACATCAACACTTGTTACTTAACTATGCTTTCTTATGTGGTGGATATAGCTTCTTTCTTTAACCCTCATGAACCAGCCTCTGCCAGCTGCAGGGTCTTCTGCAGCCTCCTCACCTCTCTCAACCTTCATAGAATTGAAAAGAATTAGGGCTTTGCTCTGGATGAGGCTTTGGCTTAAGGGAATGTTATGATTGGTTTGATCCTCTATCCAAACCACTAAATCTTTCTCCACATCCTCAATAAGGCCATTTTGCTTTCTTATCATTCAGGTGTCACTGAGCAGTATTTTTAATTTCCTTCAAGAACTTTTCCTTTGCATTCAAAACTTGGCTAACTTTTTGGTGTAAGAGTCCTGGCGTTTGGTCTGTCTCAGCTTTCAACATGCTTTCCTCATTAAGTTTAATAATTTCTAGCTTTTGACTTAAAGTGAGAAACATGAGACTGTTCCTTTAACTTGAATACTTAGAGGTCATTTTAGGGTTATTAATTGGCCTTATTTCAATGTTGTTGTGTCTTAGGGAATAAGGAGGCCTGAGAAGAGGGAGAGAGAGGAACAACTCAACAGTGGAACAGTCAGAGCATACACAATTAAGTTTATTGTCTTATATGGGCATGGTTCATGACAATCCCCAAAATTGCAATAATAACATCAAAAATCGCTGAAAACAGATCACCATAACAAATAGAATAATGATGAAAAAGTTTGAAATACTTCAAGAATTACCAAAATGTGACACAGAGACTGTTTGAAAAATGACACTGTTAGATTTGCTTAACGTAGGGTTGCCACCTTCAATTTGTACAAAATGTAATATCTGCAAAATGCAATGAAGTGAAGCACAATAAAATAAGGTATGCCCATATTTCTTCCAATCCTAAGTTCTGCTGGCATTCAGGAAAATAAATATATAAAGTTTTCACAAGTTGACAAGAAAATGAGGCATATTTGTGGCTTTGACTATTTTAATACAGGTCAATATTTAAGTAAAAAATACTTGGACCACACATAATCAATAAAAGCATATTTTCTAACCCACAAAAGTCTTATATAAAGCTGCTGGATTAGAGGGAGGTGGAAGAGTTGAGATAAAAGGAATGCAATAAGGCAGAGAGATCCTGAGACTTATAATGGGCATATGGATGTGAGAAAATCAAGAGAAGAAAGGACTTCAGTGTTCCCTACAGCAGTAGCTAAAGTCATACATGTGTTCCTGCCCCAATATGAAAGTGAGCTTTTAGATACCTAGTTGGATGATTTGTTTTTAAGAAATTATTTCTCAGTACCAACTTGTCTTTTCTTATTTGGGTCTAAATGGAAACTCTGAAAATTTCTAGTAAAAATTCACAGTTGTGTATGTTAGCTCTATTAACTATCATATAATTGAGCCAGTCCCTGTGATATAACTTTCTTCTTTGGAATCCCATATAGATAGCAATAACAATGACATTGATTAGGTAGAATAGTTCTGGAAAATACTGCAAATTTAGTTTACCCTAGTAAGTATTATGCTATAATTCATATTAAAATTAGTGAAATTCATGATTTATTTTTGTGTAACTTACTGAGAATTTTGTCCAATTAAGCCTATTCCAAATCCTGGGGAATTTAAAAAGTAAGTGTGTGTGTGTGTGTGTGTGTGTGTGTGTGTGTGTAAGCATTGTTTCTATAGACTTCTCTTTTCTATCTGTTGCTTTTATTAAGCATAATAATTGAATTTTTAAAAACAAAATCACTGGTCATGGATGGGATCATAGCACTAACCAAGGCATAATAAGATATAGATAAAGATATAAAGGTGATAATTTCCATCATGTTTAGAAATATTATTTTCTAGCTCTTTGTCTTTAGAGAATTAAAAGTAAAGTAAACTTTGGACATCCTATAAATGTTACAGACTTATTAAAACGTAATAGATTCATAAGAGTTGATTAGGAATTAGTCACTATAATGAAACTGATAAATCATAGTTTCTGTTTATTTTATGTCTTGTATTTAACTATCTCTTTGTCTACAAGCACCAGAGAGCTTGATGTCTTGCCTTTGGTGGACTCCAGGGTTTCAGAAAATCCTACTACCAATATAATCAAACCTACTCTAGGGATATACAGTACAGCATAGAGTAGTAACTCATAAATATAAATATAAAATATTTATATTTTATTTTTATAAATATTTATATAAATATAAATTTATTTATATATAAATAAACATAAATATCTGTTATGTAAATGAATAAGTGGCTTTACTTTTTATGTTTGCCATGTGAATTAAGCATCTATCTGTATATTATATAATATACTCTTATCATTAAAATATCTATCTAATGCAAGTAAAAGTTGGAAGATACTTCAAAGCATTTGATTTGCCTTTCAGGATTGTGATGCTAAGTCAAATTCATGCTGTAATCCTGCCACATGTGCGCTAAAACCTGGCTCAATTTGTGATACTGGTAAATGCTGTACAGATTGTCAAGTAAGAGCCTTCTTAATTTTCTATATTACCTACATGAACAAAGTCATCTTTTTTATAATATTTATACATTCACATTCTGCTTTATTCAATGTCATTTACTTCATCCCATCAGTATTCAGCAAAAGGAGAAATATGTAGGCCTCCCACTGATGAATGTGACCTCCCTGAATATTGCAATGGATCATCTGCAACATGTCAAGATAACTTTTTTGTTCAGAATGGGCATCCATGTGGAGAGAATCAATGGCTCTGTCTGAATGGAAGTTGTATAAGTGGGATAAAACAATGTACAGATGTATTTGGTGAAGGTATTTATTATAATTTGATTTCTTATATATGTATTTTTCTGGAAACTAAAAAAATAGATATTGATACATAATTGTGATTTAAAAAAATAATAGGATTTTTTAGTATAAATATTTTAAAGGATTACAGAAAGAGATAAGGAATACTGTAAGAAAAAAATCAGATAAGTTGTCTGGAATTAAAGTTATGAATTGTTTCCACAAAATAATAAAGGGAAACATTCAAAGTCCATGGGATCTTCATTTGAGAAGAAAGAAAGCAGACTGAGCATAAGTTACACTTTCCTCTCTCACTCCATATCCACAGTTTTCTTAGTAAATATAAAATAAATACATATGGCTATGAACATTAAAGGCCAAAGTTGGCATATGAGTACAATTTAAATCACACATGCAGATACACATGGCCAGATACATGCATTCACACCTAGGAACTACAAGAATAGCTTATGAAAATCCCAAAAAGGGGTCATGAAGATCCAGTAACTATGAAACCATTGAAAGATGATGTGCACCAAGGTTGAAAACAAAAAGGAAAACCATGGTACAAAATATACACAGAATCTTTGCTGAAGAAAATGGAGACAACAGCAGTGGCAGCAGCATGTCATGTCTATATCAGAAGAAGCAAGAACAATTGACAGGGAAAATATGCAGGATACTCATGTAAATAGCCGGGTGGGTCAACCTTTTCTCAATGGTAACAGGTAAATGCCTACTCTAATTTCTGTGTAAAAAGGTCTTGCAAAGTGATTATCCACTCCCAAAATAAACATACAATAACTACTGGTTCCAAGAAAGGCAACACAAAGATACAAGGAAAGAAACTTATAAAAATGGTAAAGTGCTCTCCCAAGGAACTGGGTGATTTGAACCACAAAGGAAATTTTGAAGAAAGGTATCTCTATCTCTCCATCTCTCTATCTCTTTATTATCTATCTATCTATCATCTATCTATCTATCTATCATCTATCTATCTATCTATCTATCTATCTATCTATCTATCTATTCATTATCTATCTATCATCTATCTATCTATATCATCTATCATCTATCATCTATCTATCAATCATCTATCATCTATCATCTATCAATCATCTCTCTATCATCTATCTTTACCTATCTTTTATCTATATCATCTCTATCTTTTCATCTACATCATCTACCTATCTATATCTATACATATATATAGATAAATAGAGAAAGGGAAATAAAGAGAAAGAGAAAGGAAAAGAAAATCTTGATTTTAAAGGTATACTGGTTAAAATGTAAAAATAAACATATTGGTTAGATCATTGGAAAGGTAGAACTTCTGTTTAAGCTAGCGGGTAGAATTGCAAATTTCACCCAGTGTTAAATAGGTAGATGCCAAAAAAAAAAGTATATGAAAGCATACATTTGAACTCCTATAATTTGCTTTTCAAATTTATTTCTGTAAGAATTGGTTGTGAATGATGTCCAAAAGAAGGGAGACTAAACCAGGAGATAGAAGAATTAAGCAAGAAGAAATAATCATCATAGAAATTAGCAAAATTTCTATGAAATTCTAGAAAATAGCTAATTTTCACAGAAATTAGCAAAAGATTGACTAAGATATATATCTCTTAAAATATACGTTTTAAAATATAAAGAATAGTATGAAATGGAGTTATTAATATGTTAAAATGTTAATCCCTAGATGAATAAAAATAGAAAAAAATAGTTTCACCAAGAAAAAAACCAAACAAGCCTGAAACAAAACTCAATCATTCCAATAAAATGTAGCCAAAAGCAAAAATAAAAATTGGCAGAAGTCAAGTATTCATTTTATAATTTAAGACAGCTACAAAAAAATAATAAAATAATGTGAAACTATAAGCTCATAAAGGAGAAAAACAAAAACAATAACAATACTTGATTAATTCCAAAGAAGACAAGAACAAAGTTAAAAAAAGGACATAGACTAGGACAATAAATTCTAAGACAGCTTATTTACATTTAAATATTTTGCAATTACATTAACTATAAAACCTGTATTAAATATTAAGGGAATTTAGGGAAAGGATGCAGCAAGTAGTGAGAAAATAATTGGAAAAATTAAGATACATTTTATTGATGATATTTTAAAAGGTACTAGACTATAATGAAACCAAAAACAGCTAATTGTTTAAATTATGACAGGAGAGAAAGTTTGCATATTTTAGGGGACCACTGTTAGCCAGTTTTTTTCCTAGAGACATTTGGAATCTTGAAGTTGAAGATCAGGCTTGGATTAGGCAGAAATCTTCTATTAGAAAAAAAAATAGAAAAATTTAGCAGTTGAAATTTAAGGGGACCGTCAAAACCATAGAAAATTTTTTCCATGAGGCATTTTTGGAGCTCTGAAGCTGCTCAGCAATTTGGTCAATTAGGTTAAAAACATTAAAAAGGCATTATGAATTTCCCTATAGTCACAAGATAATCAAAGACCAAATGGTAGAAGAAGCTTGCCACCAGAAAACCTTAATCTTCTAAAAGATTTCACTACATTTTGAAGTGCCTATGTTAGGAGGCTAGGAAGCTGTTCTGAGATTCTCTAAATAGCAAGAATTTATCTCAGGCAGACTTACAGTGAAAACAAATATTGACAAGGCTATGAATCAGTAGCTTACAAGGGTCACACCCAAGATAATGAGGCAGATCCAGAATAAGACTGTACATCAGCCCTGGCCCATTTCATTGCCTGAGGTAGATTTCACTACCTCACTCAATCTGCCTAACTCAGGAAAGAGTCATTAAAAAGATAAAATAGAGAATGGAAAGTAGCAATATTTAAAGAGATAAGAACCAATACTTTTTGAAATGAAAGTTAATCCCACAAATTCAAGAGGCTCTAAGAATCTTAAGAATGTCTTTTTTTTATCCTAAAGATTTTATTTATTTATTTGTCAGAGAGAGAGGGAGGGAAAGACAGAGCAAGCAGAAGCAGGGGGAGCGGCAGGCAGAGGGAGAAGCAGGCTCCTCGCATAGCAAGGAGCCTGATGGGGGACTCGATCCACCTGAGCCAAAGGCAGCCGCTTAACTGACTGAGCCACTCAGGTGTCCCAAGAAGAATGTCTTTAAAGAAAAAAACACATAAAGACATCCTAGCAAAACTACTACAAAAAGATCTAAAACTGTAAAACTTTTAGAGGAAAACATAGGCATAAATCTTAAGTGACCTTGGATTAGGCAATGTTCTCTTAGATAGGATACCCAAAGCATAGGTGATAAAAGAAAAAGGAATCGTCTGGACTTCAAAAATTTAAAGAACTTTTGTTCTTCAAAGAAAATCACCAAAAAAAGTAAAAAGATAGCTCAAGGAATGGGAGAATATATTTGCAAACTCATATTTTTAATAATGGACATATACAGAATACATAAGAAACATTCAACTCAACAATAAAAAGATAATGTAGTTTAACAAAAAGGAGAAAATGAGTAGGCATTTCTGAAAAAAAAAAAGACATAGAGAATGGCAAATCACATGAAAGATGCTCAACATCATTGGGCATTAAGGGAATGCAAATTAAGACCACAACATGATACTTGTTCACATTCACTAGGATAGCTATAATTAAAAGACAATAGCAATTTTTGTGAGGATATGGCAAGATCTGAACTCGTGTCTTGCTAGATATAAAATGGTACAACTGCTTTAGAAAGCAATTTGGAAGTTCCTCAAAATGCTGAACATAGCAGTTTAACCCTTGGTATATATACCTAAGAGAACTGAAAACATGTCCCCACAAAACCTTAAATACAAATGTTCATCATACCATTATTCATAATAGCCAAAATGTAGAAACAACCCAAATGTCCATCAACTGATGCATGAGTGAACAAAATGCAGATTATTTAGTTAATAAAAATGAATGAAGTCATGATTTTTGCTAAATGTGAATAAACTTTGAAAACCTATGCTAAGTTAAGAAAGCCAGTCACAAAAGACCACAGATTCTGATTCCATTCATATTTAGCTTACAAAACAGGCAAATGTATAAAGACAGAAAGTAAATTAATAGTTGCCTGACACTAGGGGTGGGAGGGAGAAGATGTATGTGATTGTGTGTGTGTTGTTTGACATATATACATTTTAATATTATAACATATTGATGATCATCTTTACTGCCCCAACTTAATACTCTTAGATGCACTGAAATGCAGTATCTGCTAAAAATTAAGTGTTTGTTTAGCTGGCTGGTTGGTTGTTTTTAAACCTAAAAGTGTGAATGTTTCTCATGCTCTCAGTCATTTTTCTCTACCTGGCCAATCTTACGCTATTTTAATTTCTCTCCCTTTATAATTATTTTAATATCTCAAAGATAAGTCATCTTAGCCTTTTGTATCTTCTTCATACATCTTGACATGGCTCTCTTCCATATAAACTTAAGAACCAAATTAAAAAATTAACTCATACATTAATTTTAGTTGAATTGATATCCATGTTATTCTGTGGATGACCTAATAAGTGTGAAGTAGTATCTTGTGGTTTTGATTTGCATTTACCTGAAGACTAATGATGAACATCTTTTCATGTGCTTATTGACCATTGTATTTCTTGTTTGGAGAGATATCTATTTACATCCTTCAGCTATTTTTTTTAAATTGGGTTGTCTTTTTTATTATTGAGTTGTAATAGTTCTTTATATAATCTGTATTCAGTTTATTGTTAAATTCATGTTTTGCAAATCTTTTATTTCATTGTGTAGATTATGTCATCACTTTCCTGATAGCCACCTTTGAAATGCAAAGTTTTAATTCTGATGAGGTTCAAATTATCTATTTTTGTATGTGTCTGCTTGTGATTTTGGTGTTATAAACAAGAAAGCATTGCTTAATCCAAGGTCTTGATTTACTCCACCCCTTTTTTTTTTCTGGGAGTTTTATATGTTTTCCTCTTAAATTTGGGTTTAAAATCCATTTTGAGTTAATTTTGTATATGGTGTGAGGGTGCCTGGGTGGCTCAGTTGGTTAAGCGACTGCCTTCGGCTCAGGTCATGATC